CACAAATAATTGTTCATTGATGACGAGGGATATTCAGAGATATTCTGAGAGATATTCTGAGAGATCTTCAGGATCATTAATTGTCCAGAGGTCCTATGCTGTTCCTGGGGCCTTTATGCTCACTTGCAAGGTGAATCCGACCGCTAAGGAGCCTTCCACGCTGCCCTTGATTTCTTTGCATTTGCTCGGACGGCCCCGCACTGTTGTCGGAGCCCTTTCTGCTGGCATGCTGGGGCACTCCTGTCGATCAGAGGTCTTCCACGGATTTTTCCCATTCGCTCGAAAGGCTCTATGCTCTATAGCCAGGCTCCATATGTTAAACTGCCGGGGTATTCCAGGCTGCTCTGGAGTTCTTTACGTTGTTTTGGTTCACCGTCACTTTCAGAAGGTTTTGCGCTCTTGTCGGGGCCCATCTGTTAACCTGCTCGGGTATACTCGATCGTTCGGGGGTCTACATAATGCGTGTCGGGCGCCTCTTATTTCAATGGAGAGCCCTGCGCTCTTGCCGGGCCCCATCTGTTAACTTCACCCTAGGCACACTCGATCTTCGGAGCCCGCACATCGGGTCTTAAGTACCTCTAATTTCTTTGAGGGGTCCTACACTCTTGCCGAGGCCCATCTGCTAAGCTACTCGAGAACAGTCGATCGCTTAGAAGCCGTCACACTCAGTCTTGAGCACTTCCGACTGGCTTTTGAGGGCCCTGCGCTTTTTTGCTCGGGCACATTCAGTCATTCGGGGGTCCTGCACACTGGGTCTTGAATACTTCCTATTTGAATGGAGGGCTCTACGCTCGTGTCGGGGGCCCTAAAATGCTACATTTCCTGGGTTTTTGAGGGCCCTACGCCTGTTGGTTTTGGTGTAGGGCCTGTTGGTTTTTGAGGGCCCTACGCTTTGGACGGCACCCCATATGTCAACTCACTCGTGCACACTCAATGCTCGGGGCCCTGCACATTAGGTTTTGAGTGCTTTCTATCTAAATGTACGGTCCTGCCACAATAGGGTCCTACCATAGTGGGATCCTACCATAGTAGGGTCCTGCCATAATGGAGTCATACCATAGTAGGGTTCTACCATAGTGGGGTCCTTCTATCTGCTAGCAAGCCTGGGCACTGTTGATCGACCAAGACCCCTCCAAGGATTCCTCACCTTAGTCCAGAAGGCTGTATCCGCTACTCCCGAGGCCCCATATGCCATGGTACACTCTGTTGCTCAGGGGTCCTTCATACTGGCATCGGGTTCTCATTCCATTTGCTCGGAGGGTCCTGTGCCGTTGCTGAGCTCATGTAAGATAACGCACCGAGCCACTCGATGTTGAGGGGCCTTCCACATTGTTCTAGGGCTCTCTCCCTTTGATTTTATTCGCGGAGGACCCTTCACACTTGTCAAGATTATTTCTGCTAATCTGCTCGGGCACTGTTGATTGAACATGGGCATTCATTAATCGTTCAGGGGCCCACCAAATTGGTCTGAAGTTCTTCTCGCCTGCCCTGAGCCCGAGGCTGGCGTAACACTGCATCATGCGTGGCACCCTGAGAATACAGGCATCGGTGTCCAAGGCCGTTTGGCACCTAACTAACCAACTGGTGTGAATACGCTAACCATACTACATTACAGCACGTGTCTGTTCCACCTTTTCTCCCCCGAGCGTGCCATTGGCGACATTTTAGCAGAGTTTTGTGTCCAGAGGGTTTACGCTCCGGTTTACGCTCCACGCTCCTTTGAGAATCCCGGAGTAAAAACGGTCGGCCCAGTGAATTTCGATATGTCATGGGCCATGTCGATCCCGAATTGATCTGGGATAAAATTTATCACAAGAAGACAGTGTCGAATGACAACAGATCCTGTGTGACATGCGCGGCACGCAAGATTTTCTCGACAGCACAGCGCGCCACAAATCTGGAAGTTTCAGACGTTTGTATGCACCAATAAGATGGTCTCGTGAAATGTAGAAATTCCAGCATTGACACGAAGAGAAACAAGAAGGGATTAAGTGCGGATTAAATAAGCACACAACCTTTGCCCGGACGTCGCGGACAGCTCAAGCCAGCGTGGTCGACAGAGCACCTGAAATCTAAAATCGTTGCAGTGAGAGCGCGCCGACAGGACCGCCCGGTCGCCCGCCGGCCAGGTTTTGCGCGCGAGTCACCGAGTGCTGAGTTGTCCCGACCGGTTCGACTGGGACCGATCGGGGCGAAAGCCCGACGGGTTCTGGATCTCAATCGATCGATGCACGCCAGTGCCAACACAGGTGCAGAGCCGGCGCCGTCCACCGTCCGTCCACACGGCGCTGGACTCGGCGTCCCGCGGCCGCCGCTGCCCGCCGCCCGGCCGCCCGGCCTGTGGCCCGCGGCGGGCGGAAGGCCGCCGCTCTAGCCGACCTCGGCCGCTCGAGCCGACCTCCGGCCGACCGTAGCGAGGCTCCGAGGCTCGGCGGAGAAACTCGCCGCCCGGTCCGCTGCACAAAAACACGCCCGCCGGCCGCCACCGCAAATGGCCGGGCACCAGCGCGAGTTTCACTTGTCTCGCAGCGCGGCGGAAAGCAAAAGTAATGACGCCGCCGCCGGGCTGGTTTCGCTTTTCATATTGGTGCCGGGCGGCGGGCGGCGGCGGCGGCGCGCCGGGAGCCTGGCGCGGCGGCGGCGGCGGGGGCGGGGGCGGCCCGGCTCGTGTGGCCCCGCCGCCGTGTCCCGTTAGCTGCCGGCCCGAGGAGCGTCGGTGATGCAACGAGCGGCGGCACGGACTCCGGGCGCCCGGCGCGCACCGGGCCGGCACCAGCTTGCTGGCCTACTGCCGCCGCCGCTGGGACACTGCCCGTGATTCAGCACTGGGCTGCAGAGTAAGTGGGACACTGGGTGATGGCTGTCACATGTCTCACCCGCGATATTCTCACGCAACGTAACCGGACCGGACACCGATGGCTGTCACATGTCTCACCCGCGATATTCTCACGCAACGTAACCGGTTTAAGTTCAGTTTTGTTTGACACGCCGGTAGTGGTTCGATCAGGAGCTTTAGATGCATGCTATACCAAAAAGCATTAATAACTTTATCACTCTTTGCAGATGGTCTCAGTAAGTAGGATCTACCAGGGGCCCAAACGACGTCTTGTCATGTGTGCTCGTGTTTGAGGTAGAGAAGCTTGTCTGAACATAGCAATATCGTCACTGCGTATATTCACTATGAGGTAAACTGCCAGTCGTCATAACCTTATATTTCTTCAAATATCTTCCAATTTCGTGTGATTGTGCTCGTTTGCCTTTTTAGGAGCCCTTTCAGAAACAGCTGCAGGTTTTGTGGATGCTTTATTCAAAGTCCATAACAAACATTAGTCAGGTGAACACTGTATTTAGTTTACGATGAGGCGCCTCAGGACGCTGCACTCCAGGGCACCAGACATCTTGCTGGTCACATGGGCGGGGATATTTCACGAAAGACCGGTCACAAAGCTGGGGATATCTCGTAAAAATACCGAGCACATGGAGTCCGCGTTGGAATCTCGTTCTTAACTTGGTACATGAACAAACGTGTTCTTTAATCTGCTAGCAGGTAACGCTCAACTTGTGTTGGGAAACAAGCGGTAACATCAGCTGGCTGCGTTTTCAGCTGGCCAAGTTATCTACCTTCAGGGACGAGCAATTCAGATCACGTGGAATGTCATGCAATGCTGGTAAAAAAGCGAGCAGTCATATACATGTCCATGCATGTATATACAGGTAACATATAAGTGGAGAGCACTGCACCGATAATTTCATCGGACGACGCAATAATATAGAGCAAATTCAGAATGCTTGCGAAATATTTATCGTTAATCGACCAATAATCGACCAATCGTTCTAGGCATCAGGTTTCTTTATAGCTGATTCCTGATCAGTAAAGGCAGAGCAGTGAACGTCAAACGGCGCTACCAGACGAAAGCTACAAACAGCCGGGCTCTACACGACTACAGCATACAACAAAATGTACAATCATGGTAACGTTATCTGACTGCGCTGACACTGGCGCGGCCGCTGAGTGTGGTGCCTAGCAATGCTTAAACTACGCACTGTCCGGAACGCACGAAGGGGTACAAGCTGCACGTGTGGCACGCTTGCCGCCGAAGCGTGCCGTGCGCTGCTCGGCTGCATGCAAGTAACAGACGCCATTAAACGGACGGTGTAGACAGGGACGGTCTAACGGGACGGAGACAAAGGCAGGCAGCCTCGATGCTACGCCAGAGGAGCCGACAATCTTATTGCACGTTCGGGAAAGTTGCTGCAGAAGGTGTTTTAATGGTACACTCAAGACGTTCTGACAGAAGCATCTTCACGTTAAGACACATTAGGTACAAGTTGTTATGTCAACTCTCATGCTTGCAGCTATGCAGCAGATAGGAAGCTTTCATAATTTACAGGCGAACAACACCCAGTCAGACCGCTAATATAAATATCCACCATCACCATCAAGAGATGAGACGACCGCAGGAGGCAGTCCTGGCGTGATAAAACAGTATCCGACAATCCAGCCGCGTGCCCCAAACAAAACCTCTTACTCTCCACCTCTCTCTCTCTCTCTCTCTCTCTCTCTCTCTCTCTCTCTCTCTCTCTCTCTCTCTCTCTCTCTCTCTCTCTCTCTCTCTCTCTCTCTCTCTCTCTCTCTCTCTCTCTCTCTCTCTCTCTCTCTCTCTCTCTCTCTCTCTCTCTCTCTCTCTCTCTCTCTCTCTCTCTCTCTCTCTCTCTCTCTCTCTCTCTCTCTCTCTCTCTCTCTCTCTCTCTCTCTCTCTCTCTCTCTCTTCTTTTCTCCCAACTTCTCCACCCCCACCTTTCCAACCCACTTCTTCATTGAACACTTCTTCATCCAACACCCCTCGATCCCCACTTCTCCCCCTTTCTCTTTTCCTCCCTCACACCCACGCTCTCTTTCTCCTGTTCTTCCATCCTTGAATCACAGCAGACACTCGCTAAATATTTACAGGACGGCCAGACAGCCGCCCCTCTCCAGCCCCCTCCCCCCCCCTCCCTTCCCCCCTCCTAACACGGGCCAGCGTCACGCCCGCAGAAGCAACAACAGATGGCCACACCGCCGCAGGCCAAATAAATAAGGCGAATTCGCCGCAGTCTCGGCTTTGTACTTAACGCTGTGCCGGTCGGTTGTCGCTGCAGCCTGCTTTGTTGCGGCCATCCGGTGCGTTTTCATTCAAGCATACTAATGCGCGCTTGCGGTGGCCACACTCTGAACATCTTTGCTCTCGAGGATAAGGCGGAGAGAGGAGACGCGTCGTTTGGCGTTTTGCTCAATGAAATTAAGCCTTTACTGGTCTGCCATAAGGCCTGAGCCAGAGCAGCTCCCAAGCACTGCTCGATAACTCCATTTCCGTGACCGGCCGACAGGGACATTCGATAAAGCTCCGTTCAGACCATAATACAAAAGAGCCTTGCCAAACACGTCGGAAGAATATGAACACCAACACAACCATACGCATCCATAACAAGAACAAAAGAACGATTACATGGAGATGCTTCTTTCTCCAGGAAGATAACAAAATCACAGTTCTAGGGCAGCAAAGTTCCTGAGCAGGCCGCACTACGGTAGCACTACAGTCTACGGTAACTCGTCACCATGGTAACAGTCAATGTCATGTCATGTCCGCCTGTTTACCGTTTGGCAGGCGGCGGTTTCGGGGTGTTGTGTATCTGTATGTGCTTTGCTAAGTGCGCTTTCTGCCGGAAGCACTTGTTGCACAGGTCGCACTGAAACGGCTTCTCTCCGGTGTGCGTGCGGATGTGGACGGTGACTGAGTACTTGTCCTTGAAGCCCTTATTGCAAATGTGGCAGAAGTGGAGCAAGCGCCCGCGGGACGGCGGGGCTTCGCCGTCGACCGCGGCGCGCTTGGAGTACTTGCGCTTCCGCGGCTGATCCTTCTTCTGGCCCATCACCGTCTGGGCGTTGGACATGCCGATGTCGATGGTGTTCACGTAGAGATCATGGGAAGTGTCGGCCGAGGACAGCACCTTGTCCGGCTTGTTGGGACTGCACGTGCTCGTCGCCTGGTTGGTCTCGCACGTGTACGGCGACGAGGTCACGGCGTTGCTGCCGCCGCTGCCGGCGACCATGTTGCGCGAGAACGTCTGGAAGCCGCCGACCGGAAACGACAGCTGGATCTCCTTCAGGTCACCGTTCACCCGCTTCTGCTGACTTGCGGTCAGGCCGGCGCGCGAGCTGGGCGGCATGGTACCGCGCAGCACGTTCTCCAGGATGGAGGGGTTGTCGGCGCGGCTGGCGGCCCACTTGTCCTCGAGTCCGGCCTTGTCGACCGGCTTCTCGGCCGGCGGGCTGGGCGTCATCGGCGCGCTACCCAGCTTGTAGGCGCCCGGCTGCGCGGCCGACGTCGGGAAGAAGCCGATGGAGGAAGGCGGCAGGCCGCATATCCGGATGGGCGTGCCGCCAGCGCCGATGATCGTCGTAGCCGGCATCTCGTCCAGCTTGGTCTGCGGCGCTGGCTCCTCATTATACAGATAGTCCTGCACCATCTTGTCCAGGTCCACCTCGCTGACCTGCTTTGGGTCGCTCATGTCGTCGATCATGACATCCGAGTGGAAGCCGTTGAGTGTGTGTACGGGGTTCATCGGCTGCAGCGGCTGCAGCGGCTGCAGCGTGATGAGGTCGTCCGACGAGCTGATGACGTCCGACGGGTTCACCGGCTTGATGGCCTCGTCGGCGATCATGGACGTGAACAGCAGCGTGTCGGGGCTGCTGAAGCTGTCGGGAGAGCGGCAGCCGGCGTCCGTGGTTGTTACCTGCTTCACCTGCTGCGTGTCACTGCCCCACAGCGGATCGCACGTCTTTTCCTTGTTCTCGTAGAGCCACTCCTTGACCTCGCGCGAGGTGACGGGCGCGCTGGCCTCGCGCTCCCACGGCATGGTGTCGCCGCCCGCCGGCGTGTTCTTGTTCACCAGGGAGTTGATCCACTGGCCGAGGTCGGAGCCCACGTCCATGTCGCTTTCTATGCCATTGTTGAGGGAGCACAGGTCGAAGAAGTCGTTGGGGTCCTCCACCTTGACTGGGTACAGCCCGGACGTCACGCTGGAAGTGACGACGGCGTTCGACAGCTCAACTTCGTTTTTCCTGCCGACGAAGAGCAATGTCAGACGCAGTGCAGAGATCGCATGAACTCGAGACGGGAGCAAATAACGATTGCTCTCGACGAGCCCTGAAAACCAAATAGCTAACGATCGAGACGCTCGCAAGATCTTACATCGGTGTGCAACATCATGCAAGGCAATAATGAAGCGAGCGAAGCAACTCAAGACGGCATCAATTGAGACGAACAGCTTCACTCTAGAGCCTGGCCCCAGCATGCAGTGGCGTGGCGGTATCAGGCCTGGCAACATGTCGTATTGTCGCGCAGACGCTCCGAGGAAACAAGGACCAGCCCTGAAAGATGTAGTGGAGTGTGACGTAGCAGAGTGTGACGTAGCAGAGTGTGACGTAGCAGAGTGTGACGTAGCCGGAGTGTGACGTAGCAGAGTGTGACGCAGCCGGAGTGTGGCGTAGCCGCTGACGCGCATACCATGGGAGGCTTGCAAAGACGCATGTTAAAAACCAGATACTGCTGTGGAACAAATAGAAAAGGTGTGTTTCGCGGGAGCTTTCCCATCCGATTCCACGGGACTGCAATAGCTCTTGAACCGCTGGGGCCTGCCGAACTGTCGACTTTGTTTATATAAGTGCGTTGAAAGATGATACATACTTACATGACTCACATGACAACTTCATTTTGCCACGACATTTTCATTCGCCCAATAGCAATTCTGCAGTTTGGCTTTTGCACGGACTCTATGAAAACTGTGTGCGTTGCATTTTAATGTCATCTGTTTGTTGTGGTTTGTTGTTGAGAAGCAGCTTTTTAGAACCATCAGTTTCCTCCTCGATCTATGGCAAATGTATTCGTTACCTTTTTGAGTAAGTCTCATCCAAAAAGTTTTCGAATATGTGCGATTATTCGGATGATGACCGACCTCAGTCCGAGCATGAATAAGGGACAGGTAAGGTATTTCTCAAACTATAGATGCCGTCAAAGTTAGCAGTAGCCAGAGGAGGCCTACTGCTGTGCTACGAATACATCTGTCTGAAATGTGACGTCTTCTGGAACAATGGAACCGGGTTCCTTGAACTACCGTTTACATTTGCAGCACACATAGCAGTCCTTGCTCTTGTGACAACCATGCAGTGGACCTACATCGATCATATTGACCTCTTATGAGATCGACCTGAAGAAATCCCGGCAACCCTATATGACCTTGGCATTATAGCGTATAAAAATATTCATGAAACTGGGCACCAGTGCGTCAGTAAAATTCCTTGCCGCAGATATGTTGGAGGGGCATCAGTGCCGATTTTTCCTCTCCGACGTTGGCTACGTGGTGGCCTTGTAGATCTGTAATTTCAAGAACCCCGCAAAATCCAGTTTCCTTTTTGTTGAATGACACGCTATGGTTTTACTTGCAGACAGACCAAGCAAAGACATGCAGGTGTGCAGATCTGCCTGCTCACTCCGGATATGTGCACGAAGAACCGGAAGTGCAGATTCCGCACTCAATTTTGCGTGCTAGCAAGGCGTTCATTTTCTTGGAATGACATGGGAAACAGCGATACCGAAGCCAGGATTTCGTAAGGAACCTGCTAGTGGACAAATTAAAAAGTTGACGGCCGAGCCCGTCAAGACAATGGTCAGAACGCCGCATTGTTTGTCGGTGGCTGCTCGGAAGCTGGGTAGTGCCCATTGTTTGTCGGTGGTTCTTCGGAAGCTGGGTAGTGCTCATTGTTTGTTGGTGGCTCTTCAGAAGCTGGGTAGTGCCCATTTTCCCCGTCACGTGACTTCCTCGGAACACGTTTTATGGAGATCAAATTTGATAAGTTCCAAAAAGTCTTGTGGCAGTAAACAATGACCAGCGCGACGCTGGCCGTCATCAGTTGCGTGCGACTTGACACCCGTCAGCCGCTGGCTGGCTTACCACTGCCACTCAATGTGCATGCGCTGTGATTCAGTGAAACCATTTTGTACTTTTCGCGACTGGTCCACGTGCCTGTATTGCTTACCAATCATGCAGCGCCGCCGATGTAAAGCAACCAATCGCACATCCGCAAAACGCTCAGCACGGGCGTGAAGCACCGCCGTGGTGCCCCAGTTCACCTCATGCCCGGGAGATGGCACTGTCGGCCGGGAGCTTGCGTGCCACCGCTCAGTGAGCTGCGACTGGTCCGCTTTCCGTCTCTGGGTGTTACCAAGGACGACGGCGGCGCGGCCGGCGGCCCAGGGCGTGCCGCGCCGACCGCCCCGACGCGTCACTCATGCGGGGCGGGCCGCGCCTCACCGCGCGCCCGCTGCGGCGTCTCCGCTCCAACGGCGCCCGCGCGGCGGCGGCGCCGCCGCGCCGTGCAGCGACCGCATCTCCGCCGCAGGCGCGCTGGAGCGCTGCGGTGTCGAACCCACGCGGCGACGCCGAGGACGAGGGGCACCGGGCAGGGGAGACCGCATACCGGCCTCACATGGCCGCCAGCAGGGAGGCAGCACCCCACCATCTCCGGCGAGCCGGACCTGGATGATCAGACCGGACAGACGACCCGGCCAGCTAAGAGCCTGGACACGACACGGAACAAGCGGGCCCCGCCATCCGTCAGGTTAAGCCCGCCAGGCGACAGGTGCTCGAGGCGCGACTGTCTTCAGGGGATGCCGGTTAGTCGTGAGGCTCCTAGCGTCGGGCCCTTTCTTGTTTGCAGTTTCCATTTTTAGCCGCTCGAGGTTCTGCGACTCTGGACAAGTCAGTGAAAGCGCTAATTCGTCGACACATGAGGTTCCCCAGTCGGCCGATATCACAGCAGGCTACTAATTGCCTTCTGGAGAGGAGTCAATATTAATCTGGCATTACGCACATATGCACTTGGGGTAGGGTGCAGAGCGGACGGCCGCCGAGCACATAACGCTATGGTTCGAACATAACTCGCTCAGGCGTCGAAAGCAAAGTCCATCGTTCATACAGCAAAACATTGAGAGCAGCTCGTGCAATTCCGCTCCCAAGATATCGTGCGTTCACTGCTACACTGCATAACGCTATATGTCTTACTCGCCGCCACAGGCACATCACCCTGCGCCTGCTTCGTCCTGTTGGCCGTGTGATCTGCCAAGCCTGGTGTCATAACGTTAGCCGCGCGCTCTGCCAAGCCTCGTGTCATCCCGTTAGCCGCGCGCTCCGTGCTGAGTTTCGTGTCATCCGGTTGGCCGCGCGCTCCGTACCAAGGTTCGTGTCATCCCGCTAGCCGCGCGCTCCGTGCAGAGCCTCGCGTCATCCCGTTAGCCGCGCGCTCCGTGCCAAGCCTCGTATCATCCCGTTAGCCATGCGCTCCGTGCCGGCCTCGCGTCATTACGTTAGCCGCGCGCTCCGTGCCAAGCCTCGTGTCATTCCGTTAGCCGCACGCTCCGTGCCGGCCTCGTGTCATCTCGTTAGCCGCGCGCTCCGTACCAAGGTTTGTGTCATCCGGTTAGCCGCGCGCTCCGTGCAGAGCCTCGCGTCATCCCGTTAGCAGCGCGCTCTGCCGAGCCTCGCGTCATCCCGTTAGCCACGCGCTCCGTGTCGAGACTCGCGTCATCCCGTTAGCCGCGCGCTCCGTGTCGAGACTCGCGTCATCCCGTTAGCCGCGCGCTCCGTGCAGAGCCTCGCGTCATCCCGTGACGCTGCACCCGGCGGTCACGACGTCTCGCCACCGTGACGGCGTCTCAGCCGATCGAGACGCGCCACCCGTCACGCCGCGCCCTGCAGCCGCTCCCATGAGTAGGCCAGCGGTGCCGCCTGCCAGAGAGCCGACTCTCACTTTTAACGAGCCGGCCGCCATTGCCATGCAGCTCGCGCGCCGACGCTGGCTCGCTGCCAAGAATGCCGATTTCACTTTTCGTTCCCGGCGCCGGCGGAGCCGCTGTAAACCGGGAAGTTGGACCGGTCGCCAGGGACGGAGGAAGGCCCGCCGGGCAGGGGTGAGCTGTGTGCGGGCTCGGAGGCTGTGCGGTTACCCCGGATGGGCTGCTGGCCCCGAGCTGGGGAGGGCTGCCGGATGCGGCTGAGAGCCTGGACAATTATGCGGTTTGTTGAAATATGTTACTCGTATGCGCGAGATGACAGCAAGACACGAACAACGGTATTAAAAGCAATCTAAAGGAGCACTCCGGAACATAACGGTGCGTTGGTATTGCCAGAAGCGTCAAAGCAAACTGATGGCAGGGTAAATCTGGAACGAGGGCGGGCTGTAGTCAAGTTTCTGAGCACAGTCTGTGCCTTATCCCGCATTGCTCAAGTTCAGAGTTATTATCTTCTGTGCCACTTTGCTTCCAGCTGCGGTGAGCGGTCTGGTGCTCAGACCCTGCTGTCGCTTGACATAACTGCCATAGAGCTTCTTCCGTGGTTTTTCAGTGCAGCCTTCATCTCCGATCTTTTTAATATTCCTTTCCAAGGTCTGTGCTGTGCTGCCATAAGGCCCCTTCCGGCGTTTGTCAGCACAGCCTTCATACCTTGCCTTTTTTATACAGCTGTCCAATATCTGTGCTTTTTTCTCTTGTGTTGGCCTCTCTCAATCCATCCGTGTTCCTCTGCCATAAAGTCGCGGAAGCTCTCGGTATAAGGTCTAACGATGTGAAAGCCCCAGATCCTCCCCTTGATTCTTCTCTGGTCTTGCCAGTTTTGTCCGCTGCCGGGAGAAGAGTCTGCGCCTCAGCCTGCAGTCGTCTCCGCCTCAGCCTGCAGTCGTCTCCGCCTCCAGAGTCCCCCCCCCCCCCCGGTCTAGCTGCACGGCCCCTGTCGAGCTCTTTCCCGGTCCCTGCCGAGCTCCCCCCGGCCCACGTCTGTGACCGCCCGTGGCCGACCCGCGTGTCCGCCGGATCCCGCTCAGCACAGAGCACCATTGTTCCGGGCCGTTTTACGAGCCTCGCCGGAGACAGATTGGACTGATTCACGCAGCTGGGGCGTGGGGTTGTGTCGGTGAAACGCACCGGCGCTGACCCACTTGCCTCCTGGACGGCAGCCGCAGCCGCCGCCGCCAGAGGGCGCAGCGAGTGCGACCGCTGACTCCTCGGTCCC